ACATATAAGGAATTTCCCCCTTCACTGCGTGCTCTCTTGTTGTAACTGGTGTCGTCCGGTTGGCATCAGAAGATCTGGGGTTCAAATCCCGGTGAAAGCATCGCTGATTTTTTTCTATTTAGAATTTTTAATAGCATTTGCTTAAAGTCTTGTTTAATTCCTTATCATCTTAAGGAGAAAATTTATATTACTTATTTATATGGATTGCTTAATTGTTTCTACCCCGCTCAGGGCCAATAAATCAAGCAAGTCCCGAGCAAAAATTTAAGCCTTTCCAAATCATGGTCTTAGTTTAGTTTATGACAACAAATTTCTCCTCAAAATAAACTATAAAAGTATATACACTTTAATACTCCCACCGTATCGAAGTGATTGTCCGAGTTACAAAACTGGCATCGGAGTAAGAAGATAGATACGTTGCAGAGATATTAGGTTATTTCGAAGCAGGAGACGTGAAAAATGAGCTATGCCCTCGCCAGGATTCGAACCACGGACCTCTCTAATTCGCGTCTTTTCTACCATACGTTACCGCTTTCATAAAACAGAATTTCCATACTATATACCGATTTATTGTCATTCTTTTTTATAGAGATATAATGAAGAAACGCAATTTAAGGTTTGAAGAGAGAAATACAATTCTACAGGAGCTACTTCAGAAACTTTAAAAATGAAATTAAGAATGGTATTACAGGTGCTACTGGTAAAATTCATGGTTTGTTAGACCAAACTGTTTCTAGGATATAGCAACGAGCCAAACGCTACTGTGACAGAGGAGAACCGAAAATGTTGAGGCAAAAATAAAAGGGCCGTCGAGGCAAAGGACATGAAAAGATTTGGGGAAAAATCAAGAAAGTCCTGCTTCGCAAACGTACTTCATTAGGTTACCTTGCTTTTACAATGGGAACAGACACTAGCAGTGGTGCAGAGACTAAAAAAAGGACGTATATTTGAAATGTGTTTCAAGGATCGTAAAATCTGAATAACAAGCGAAAACACACGATAAAGTCAGGGCTTTGATCGCGGCTGAGCGCTGAACTAAAGTCGCTGAACATTTAGTAATCTGGTCCGAGGTTCGAATCCCATGTGTAACGTGTATACGAGTCAGTTTTCCTTAGAACGACTTCCGCGAAGGCATTCGTTCCAGTATGCAGATAGCACTCGAGTGCTTTGCCATAATCAAATACGCCAAAGTTTCGATCTCAGAACACATCCTCATTCATTGCTTGTGCTAGAAAATGTTCTAATGTGGCCGTGTAACACGCAATATATATAAAATAAAAGTTAAATAAATTCTTATTATACTCACATATCGTATTTAATAAATTATACTTACTATTATTATTAAAATTATTATTAAAATAAGTGATACATTAGGAAAAAACATTGTTTATTGTGAAACATTGGAATAATCGTTCCTATACAAATAAATTATGCAAACAGGATAATGGTTTCAATACGGAGGGAGTGATATTTTGCAGTAAGTGTCAGTAGGACTCTATGTATTTCCAGAGTGCCTGGTTAAGAATCTCTCTTTTTCACGAAGCAAAATAATCAAGCAGAATATTCTTGTTCTTCGAAAAAAAAAACCGGCCTATCTCGAAATGCACAGAGAATTTTTTTTTTTTAAATAAACTCCAGAATGAAACTGAACTAGCTTAGTTTTGAATCCATACTGATGTGTTTCTGTTCCAAATATTAAGCGTTATTAGCTTCTAACCATTATTAACTTTATTGTAATTACGAAAACACACGTTTAACACATATTTGCATGACTGGAATACAAGCAATTATATGCAATTACAGTCGCTGTAAAATTTGACTTAACAATATATTTTTTCTTATTTATGCCATTTTAATTTCAGAAAAGAAGTATAAGAACGGATACTGAGGCTTTTAAAATTAAGTATTTTTACGTTAAATTCTTTGTCCGTGAACATAACAATACGCTTTTTATTATCTTGCTTTCTGTTTTAAAAGCACAAATATCAAGTTTATAATCCTCTTACGTTCTAATAAAATTATGCCTTTATTTCTTGCACTTAACATTACAGAAATATGTTAGCAATAAAACTCAAACATTCCCAGTATAAAACATCGTCAGTTATTTGTGACGTGAAAGAAATCATTTCAATAAAACTTTTATTTATATGCAATTGTAAGTTTGCAAAATTAAATGAAATTTCATTCTATAAAACATTGGAATACATTTAAAAATCATTTGAGCAGAAAAGAAAATTATCAAACGAATTCTAATTCAATTAAATTCCTATTCATCGCACGCAGTATAAAAACGAGTTTTGTTGAAGAATCTAAAACCAAGATAAATTTTCACATCGCAGAAATGTAGTTTTTTTCTCCGGCAACATTTAAATACTTCTGCATCCACTGGAAAAATAATCATTTTCTTATTATTCTTGATCATGTTAAGGATAAAATTTCTCTTTCAGGTGCGTGAATTAAGGCTATTAAAGCGCTTTGAAATGAAAGAATAATTTATGGGAAATTGTTCTGAATGATTTTTATGCGGATAAAAGGAAAGTATTTGCACTCGAGAACAATTCGAAAAGGAATAAAAAATTTAAATTTGAATTCTAAAATTATATTATTCTGTATTAAATCAAATATTCAAAATATTCTCACATGATCATATTGTTGAATGGAATATTGTTAGAATTTTGTATTTTAATTTATCAATCACGCCAATAACAGAAATATTAACATTTTGATCTTATATGACAGGACCTATTAGGATTAACTGCAAATATTTAACACTTGATCCGCACTACTTATTTATTAACTCCTTAAACGCCTTTTCATGTTTATTTTTTAAAGTCTTGCAAATGAACTGACAACAATGAAGTATTCGTGTTTTTCCAATGCGTAACGTAAATGCAAGACAGTTTCCCTGAGAAAGTTCACCAGGGAGACATTTTTTTTTCTTGAGAAAATGGCCCTTATATGTATTGTCAAAATCAATTAACCTAATCTTATTGCTTTCATTTTAACTGTCATTAACCACAGTCAACCTAGTAAACGGGCCAAGAAGCTAATTGTTACGAACCTAAGTGATCTAAAATCCTTCCGCATTTCTTAACAATATTTTGCAAGTGAATTTTATGTTTATGTTTTTTGATTTGGTTTATTTAATTATGGCAAACACTCGAGGGCTATCTGTCTAATGGCAGGGATGCCTTCATAGGGGGCTTCCTGAGGGAAACTGGCTCGTATACATGTTACACACGCGAAAAACCACGAAAATACCCATGCAGTCAGCCCGTTCGCCGAGAATCGAACCCCAGACCGAATTACCATTTTCAGAGACTTTACCGCTCGGCCGCTGGTGGGCCAATTTATGTTAAATTAACAAAGCAAGTTTGTAGCAAAATACATTTTCGTTAACTATAGGACCTACTTTTAATTAAACCTACATTTACTTCTATGTTTATAAAAACATTGTTTGCAGGGTTTTTATTTTTGCTATTTATTTTTATACTTAGCCACAATTTTCAAAATGATTCTAACAGAGCGTGGAAGGAAACATATATAAGTTGATGGTGCTATTAAATATCATTAGCATCATAGCAGTTTGTTTATCTTTTAATTCGAAATATTTACTATTATGCAATCAGTATAATTTTATAAATTAGAAGTTTCATTGTTTAACGTTACTTTCTTTGCAGGTAGATGATAGGGATGTCCACTCAACAGACATCGAGGACGATGCCTCTTCAGGCTGGCCGAAGCTCTCGGAGATCATCGACGACCGATGCTGACTTAGCGAATTACCAGCTGACGTCATACCAGCATAGCTCAGTGCGAATCATTCCAGACAGCGTCAGATAGCGTCCAGACGTGGACGAGAGTGGAGTGAAGCTCAGGCGAGAGGAAGACTTGCTGGTCTTCAAGAGTTAACGAAGACAGACGGTCTTCTTTGGTCTTCTTGGGGTTTTAAGTACCTTTAGCTGATAATACTATTTAAAGCTAGCCATGGATGTTTGTGTGAAAGGACTGAAATGTTCATCATTATATGAATCCTGTGGACCGATAATTCATTCCTGCAACATTAATTTTTACTTAACCTTTATTACTTTTATCTATTTCTTATTATTAAAATAAAAGCATTTAAAAATGCAATAGTCGTGCTCTTCTGTTTTGAAAGAAAAATCTACATAAATGACAAACGGCTTAATGACAGAATTGTCTACTATTTGAAATTCCGTCATCGCCTAATGATGCGCCTTGAGATTATTTCCCATGGAAGATCTTATAAAATAGCCTGATACCTAAAGTAAAAAGTGTCAAATTTATTTAAAACACATTGAAGGTGGACAGTTAGAATGTACCTGAATAATAACTTGTCCATACCAGTAACGGGTAACAACCAAATAACTGGTTGAAATGTTTGCAAAATGATGATAATAGTAACTATATCTGAAACTACATGTAAAAATATGTATTTAATTAAATTTAGTTACTTGCATTATGAATTAACCTGTATTCGGCGTCTTTCTATCATCCTTTGGTGAGTCTATCGTTGCCGTAATGGTAAAGTGAAACATTCTGCATACAATGATGAATGGGGGTAAGGCTGGATAAAAGGATTGCCATGTTTTTCGGAATAACGATTAGATTAGCCGTGTATACGTGTGTGAAATTTACATGCTAGTGCTATGTTTGTTCTAATTACTTGTGTTCGTAATAAAGATTATGAATAATAATTAACACTTTGTGTTAGTGTACTGAATATCATGAGCTGTAAGGAACATAACTGTGACCGCATGTCTAGCAGGCACCTAATCCATCACAAGTATTTTACAAATATGGTGGATAGGACTACAACAGTAAAAGGCTGGTATACAAGACCTCAGCATGACTCAAATAAATATTTATTTAGTACTAACAGTTTAGAGAAACACTTATTGGATATAATAAGTTAGTAGTAATGATTTTGGGAAGAACTTGGGAAGCAATTTTTTAGAAAAGGAAAAGGTTTAACATACCACATAATACTTTTCTTTGGAAGGAAGCAAAACTTTCTTACCTGCAATAAAAATGATTCATTTATGTTAATTTTCGCTCGAATTTAAGAACTATCATTCAATCATAAAGAACATAGCATCAACATATTATCAACAAGAACAAGTATGTTATATAATCGACATCAATATTACAGAAGTATTATTTGATTTTATGTATCCTAATAATGTAAAAAATAATTATATGGTACACAAATTAATTACATAGCATGGCAGATATTTCAAGTGATAAAATATTCATTGCGCCGTAATGAGTTAAAAATAAAATGTTCCTTACCTTTATGCATATAATTCGCACAAACGCTAGTGCTCCTTCCTTTTATCCTATTAAATTAAGTGTTGAGGAACCTAATGAACTTCTAAGCGAATAATCGTTTAAGTCCAAGAACAGAAACGTAAACTCAAGAAGGGCATATTACCCTTTACTTGTACAATACAAATAAAGATACAGTTGGTCACTTTCCCAGGGCGTACAACAAAGCCTCCACTTGCGCTAAAATTCAAAATGTAAGAAATAAGAACTAATGACTAACTAAAGAGATTTAGCCGAAGCTAACACAATTCTAAACTAGTTTACCCGTAATATATAACTTTAGCCAGCGAAGCTATCAAAAGGCATTTAATACAGCCGAGCGTAGTTAGAGAGACGTAGCCAAAAGGGAAACGAATTCTATTGAGGAATCCTAACTCTCTCTGGCGAAGTCAGTGGAACATTGACTTAAATACTTTCTACTTCTCATTTACATTTAACGCGATTCTAAGAACTCCTTCTGGTTCTTGCTAGAAGCTGAAGCTAGAAGAAATTGTCATAAAATAACTGTTAAAAATTAAAATGTACCTTACAAGATATTCAAGAAAAAAATTGCTAAGTTAGCTGTTTCTGCCTTGCAGTGACTTAAATTTATTCTGAAAAATTTGATCTTGTGAAGCATTTACGAATGAAAAGTTGGTCTATTGGTGCTTAATAATTCCATATTAGGTAAAAAAAAAAAGCTCGTTTTTAAATTTGTAACTGGTTTCTTGAATATTCTTGTGACTTTACGCACAGATTGAGCAAATTTTATTTAACTCATTTAAAGCCTGATGAATATTTTATTAACTGGAGAGTTTTTTCTATGAGAACCACATAAAAAACTAATTTTTATACTTACAGGAAATTATTACACACACTGTAGATATTTTTTTAAACAAAATTCTCTACTTCACTTTGTGAAACTGAGTTTACTTGTAACTGAAAGAAGCAATTTCTTCTAAATAGCCTGCGTGAAGCTGATTTATAATTCAGTTCGGTTCATAGGGTTCTATATATCCATGTAATTTATATAGCTAACACATGATACTTCTACTAAATTTATATTAGGAGATAATATAATCAATATTTTTTAGTAAATATATATATATATATATATATATATATATATATATATATATGAGCACGGATGCCAGTTTAATAGAGTCTACATAATTATTTAATTATTTTTAGTTTTTAGGAGAGTAATTAAAAACTAATAATAATGTTACTATTTTCTTTCGCACATCTCTGACCTTATTGTACATTCATGAATATTTCTAAAATTCCGCTGTGTACCACCTTTGTTTGTTCTCAGGTTTAATTGATGCGCTCGTATTCTTTATTTTACATTAAGAGTATATTTAAAATTAATTACATGCAGGCATATAAAAATAACAACTTTGAAAACAGTTGCAAGCACCACTTTTTTCCGATATTAACACACATGAAAAGAAGTGGGGGGAAGACAAAGAGAACAATGGAATAGCACTAAACGCAGATGACAGAAATTTAATGACTCGAATGCCATTAATTATTTGTTATTCCCACTTTAACCAAGTTTTACATATACAGTTCTTTCAGTGTTTAAATGCACATACATCTAACAGAATTTATATGCTATCATTAGCACACATATATATTATCATTTATTCAGTTTGCGAGAAATCTATAGAACTACAAATGCTTATTCGTCGAAAGGAAGTATAAAAGCAACTTTTGATGGTCTTATACTCAGTTTCAGTAAAAACCATTTGAATTATTTCTCTTGGGCACAGTTACAAAGACGGACAGTTAATCAAAACATTTATGTTTTCTTTAACTGCAAAGAGAAATCATTAAAGGCATTACACTGTAATACTTCGTTCGCACAGGTTTAAAATACGATATATCAGTCAGTTCTAGTAACAACTTTCAATTGACTAGTTCTGCTGCTTAATCACTTGAACTGCTATTTTAGAATGCAAGCGCCACAAGTGAGCCAGCATCTGCAGGAAACTCGTGTCCAGATGCGATTATTGACAATCTCCCTGATCTGGGAAATCTTGGCTCTGCCGAAGTTATGCGCTTCAGAAAACCCCACACCGACCGTGATTAAGTATACAGGCAATCATGCTTCGATCCTTCCTGATACGGCAATAGAGCTGATTTGGATTAATGCAATCACCACCCGCACGGCCGGAACATGCCGCACGCGTATTACATCAACACACGAACAGCTTCCGCTCGTGCCGCAAATCGAAACCGATAAGGGTGGACGCTCGTTTAAATGGCCAACAGCCAAACAGTGGTCAAAGTCAAATGCGATAAATCGCAAATGAATATTTGCAGCCATATAAGCTAATTTAAAATTAGCATTTCCTAAGTCATTTTACAAAGTAATTCAGGAAGAATAATTTGATTTCAAATTTTTATAGTTTTAAAAATTAGCAAACTAGAATGATAGTAACATGAAAGTAAAGGAAAACGTTTTAATATGTAAGTAATAGAAAAAGCTAGTTTGTCGGTTAAAAACCTCATGTTGAGAAAAAGTGGAAATCGCGTTTAAGCTGCGGATTTTGAGTACTATCGTCTGTGCCATGTCACTCAGACGGATTTTATTCTAACAGATCTTTAAATATTAACTCCTGCAGTTTTTTTTTTTTCTTTTAGGTACACGTGAAAGAGTACATGGTTGTTCCATCTGAGCTTATAATCGTATACAAACTTAAAAAAAAACTCAGTTATGCTTCTTTTAAAACTGTTATCATTAACACAGTGGAATGTGTTTGAGAAAAATTTCCATATCGCTTTGACGTTACATGTCAAATTATGAAGTCTTAAGAAGCATTTGTAAATAAACCATACACATTTCCCTTTATATCTGTGCGTCATTTGTCACCCTATGTTATTAATTTTTAAAATTATATAAACTTTAAATCGAATATTTTTCCAAGTAACCTGTATTTATATTTACTTAAAAATGTTTTACGACAACGGAAGTAAAAAATGCACACCAAATCGAAATTAAAAAACTGAAAAATGTGTCATCCTTCGGCACAGATCTCAAAAAATGCATTTTAAACATTCTTCTCCATTCCCACTATTTCTTTGCTGTTAGTATATGTGTGTGTGAGAGGTAAACATATTAATACTAATCACAATAGTATGATGAGTTAGATTTAAGCCACCTCGTACATTCAAAAGAAAAAATTCTATTTGGTGGTTTATATTTCTCCCGCTTTCCTAGCGTGCCTTCGTGGTGTAGTGGTTCTGCACATTGGGCCGGTATCCAGAGGTCCGTGGTTCGATTCCCGGCGAAGGCGATAGCTAATTTTTCATCTCTCTGACTTTTCCAATTAACCTAATGTCTCTAGAGTGGAGCCAGAACTAAAAGGGTTGTGGATGATAACTCTCCACACCCAGGATTTGGCGATAGATTCCCCTAAAAACCACAGTCACCCTTTAAAAGCGGGAGTATATAAGGTATTTCTCCCACTTTCTTAGCGTGTCTTCGTGGTATAGTGGTTCTGCATGTTGTGCCGGTATCCAGAGGTCCGTGGTTCGATTCCTGGCGAAGGCGGTTGCTAATTTTTAATCTCTTCTGTTTCCAAAAATTACCTAATGTCTCTACAGGGTAAAGGAAAGGTCTCCAGTTGCATGACGTAGCTCTGCTATTGTGATAAAACAAACGAGCATTGTAGTCTTCCGCTTATTTTGTACCACGATTAGCAACCTGCTCAAGCAGATTTTTAAATAAGCTGTGAGGTAATTTTTCTGATTTAGTTGTGCTTGCTTCTTCACTACTGGAAGTTTTTCCTTTTCCCTTAAACGTTGTTTTAATTTTTAAGTTTTATATTTGCATTCAAAATTGAGCTCATTTGTGGCCTAGTGGTTAAGGCTGCAAATACGATGAATCGTCGGTTCAAGATGGACGAAGAGGAAGAGGTTTTCATTGTTTTTCTAGCAGTGTGATTTTTTTTTCATATAAAACTATTTACGTAGGCATACTTCCTAATGCATACAGTTCACGTATTCTTAATGTTTACTAATTTGATTAAATTCATTCAAGCTTAACTCTTATTTATTATACCACTATGCTTTAAAGAATGATAGTTTGGTTTAATGACTGATGTAAAACACACGAGTTATCTGTGCCTTGCATCAGCCATGGTAAATGCTAAAAGGTATGAATTTTAGAGAATATTTTGACAGAAAATAGCTCATATACGCTAAGAAAACTAGATCATATAAAAATTCGATTGGACGGAAAAATAGATCATATAAAAATAGCTCACAGTATAAATTTGATGGGAAATAACTCATAAACATGGATAAAATATAAAAACTATAGCGTCATTATATTTTCATAGAAGACAGGAAAACGCAGAAATAAGCGATGTACTCGCTGGGTTTCGACTTCGGACGCTCTGATTGTTAGTCGGAAATGTTTCCAATTAAACTACAAAGGCACAAAGTAATGTAGGAGAAAATACCTTACAAACCCACACAAAATGTGATCCGCAACATAGACACGTTAAAACTGATTTTTGTACGTAAACATATGTATAAAAAAGAAGATAAAAAGATAAAGATGTACAAGTAAGTAAATAATAAAACGTTAATAATACAAATTAAATAAAACGGAGAAATACAAAAGAGACGCTTCATTTTAATCAGAAATTCATAAGTATCGAAGGGAAAAAAAATAAGGTTCTTCAAAGGCCAGGAAATGCA